GGTGCATGGCCTGGCTGGGGGATGGGGATGTGGGGGAGGGGGTGTGTGGCTGGCTGGGGGGGGATGGTGGGGAGGTGGGGGAGGGTGCATGTGGCTGCTGGGGGAGGTGGTGGGGAGGTGGGGGAGGGGGTGCGTGGCCTGGCTGGGGGGAGGATGGGTAGGGAGGTGGGGAGGTGCATGGCTGGGGAGGATGGTGGGAGGTGGGGAGGGGTTGCATGACGGCTGGGGGAGGATGGTGGGGAGGTGGGGAGGGTGCGTGGCCTGGCTGGGGGAGGATGGTAGGGGAGGGTTGCATGGCCTGGCTGGGGAGGATGGTGGGGGGAGTGGGGGAGGGTGCGTGGCCTGGCTGGGGGGAGGATGGTGGGGGAGGGTGCATGGCCTGGCTGGGGAAGGATGGGTGGGGAGTGGGGAAGGGTGCGTGGCTGGCTGGGGGGAGGATGGTAGGGGGGGTGCGTGGCCTGGCTGGGGGGAATGGTGGGGAGTGGGGAGGGTGTGTGGCCTGGCTGGGGAGATGGTGGGAGGGTGCATGGCCTGGCTGGGGGGAGGATGGTAGGAGTGGGGAGGTGCGTGGCAGCTGGGGAGGATAGTAGGGAGGGTGCGCAGCCTAGACTGGGGATGGATGGCAGGAGGTAGGGGAGGTGCGTGGCAGCTGGGGAGGATGGTAGGAAGGTGGGAGGGTGCGTGGCCTGGCTGGGGAGAAGATGGTGGGAGGGTGTGTGGCCTGGCTGGGGGAGGATGGTGGGGAGGGTGTGTGTCAGGGGGAGGGATGGTAGGGAGTGGGAGGGTGCAGGGCTGGGGGGAGGATGGTAGGGGAGGTGCGTGGCCTGGCTGGGGGGAGGATGGTGGGAGTGGGGGAGGGGTGTGTGGCCTGGCTGGGGGAGGATGGTGGGGGTGCGTGGCCTGGCTGGGGAGAGGATGGTGAGGGGAGGTGCAGCCTGGCTGGGGAAGGATGGTGGGGAGATGGGGAGGTGTGTGGCCTGGCTGGGGAGGATGGTGGGGAGGGTGTGTGGCTGGCTGGGGGAAGGATGGTGGGGGAGGGGTGCGTGGCCTGGCTGGGGGGGGTGGGCGGGACGTGGGGAGGGGTGTGTGTGGCCTGGCTGGGGGGAGGATGGTGGGGGAGGGGTGTGTGGCCTGGCTGGGGGGGAAGGATGGTGGGGGAGGGTGTGGGCCTGGCTGGGGGAGGACAGTAGGGAGGAGTGGGGAGGGGTGTGAGCCTGGCTGGGGAAGGATGGTGGGGGAGGTCTGTGGCCTGGCTGGGGAGGATGGTGCAGGAGGGTCGTGGCGCAGGGAGGATGGTGGGGAGGGTTAGTGGCCTGGCTGGGGAGGATGGGGGAGTGGGGAGGTGTGTGGCTGTGGGGGAGGATGGTGGGGAGGTTATGGCCTGGCTGGGGAAGGATGGTAGGAAGGTGGGGAGGGTGCGGTGGCCTGGTGGGGAGGATGGTGGGTGGGGAGGGGGTGTGTGGCTGCTGGGGGAGGATGTGGGGAGGTGGGGGGGGTGCGTGGCTTGGCTGGGGGAAGGATGGTGAGGTAGGGGGAGGGTGTTGGCCTGGCTGGGGAGGATGGTAGGGAGGGGTGCATGGCCTGTGGGGAAGGATGGTGGGGAGGGTGCATGGCCTGGCTGGGGAGGATGGTGGGAGGTGCGTGGCCTGGCTGGGGAGGATGGTGGGGAGGGTGCGTGGCCTGGCTGGGGGAAGGATGGTGGTGGGAGGTGGGGGAGGGGTGTGGCAAGCTGGGGGGGGAGGGTGAGTGGGGGGGGAGGTGGGGGGAGGGTGCGTGGTCTGGCTGGGGAAGGATGGTTGGAAGGTGAGGGAGGGTGCGTGGCCTGGCTGGGGGATGATGGTGGGGGGGAGGGGTCGTGGTCTGGCTGGGGAAGGATGGTTGGAAGGTGGGGAGGTGTGGTGGCCTGGCTGGGGATGATGGTAGGGGAGGGTGTGTGGCCTGGCTGAGGAAGGATGGTAGGGAGTTAGGGAAGGTGCGTGGCCTGGCTGTGTCGCTCACAAACACGTCTCTGCACATCTATGTCATGAGAGACGTCACACAACACGTCACTGCTTGTTCCACCTATTCAGCTGGGTAAACTGAGCAACACTGTAGCCAAGTTAGACTCATCCCCAGCAACCACCAGGCAGGCTACTGGGCAACTGTGAGATGTTATGGTTGTTTTAACTTAGTATTTTCTGGTAGATATATGTAACTTGCTTCATTTATATTTACTCATTTACATGCACACACCATCCTAAATACATAGTGAAAAAAGTAAAAGAAATAATTGTCTTAAGGGCAAACTTGTACTCATATGTACCAAGTTAATTACTAAACTTTTACATGTAGTGCAAACTAAGGGATGTTTGTACTCAAATTAATCATTATCTTACAAGAATTCCAGCAATGTAAGTTATATTCTGCCAAGTCAATTCAGTGATATTTTTTAGCGAAAGACTTAAACTCCCTCTATATGACTGATAAATATGCACTTGGTAACTCTCCCACCCACTGTCAACACCTCACCTCCTGCTTCCCCATCCTCCTAGCCAGGGTGAAGGTGGTTTTAGGCATAAAAGTTTTTATTTTATGAAATGTCATATAGTTTGCACAAGATGTAAAATTTTAGTCCTTTAGTGTAGTACATTTGAGTACAAAATGTGTACAGTAATATGTTGCTCAAAATAATGGCTTTCTCTTAGGAAAAAGTCTGTAGTATAACTTACCCCAGTGGTCACTGTACTCACTTTTCTTATCATCGAACAATATCGCTCGTATAGTGAATATAAGGTGCAAATTCCTTAACTTCGTATCATTGAATTCTGATGTCTAATGTCTGAAGGAAAGGTCGGAGAGAAGAGATGGGATTCAATGGGGGAGGGAGGGAGGGATAAGTGGGTAAACTAGGTGAGGTGGATGGTCAAGGTGCTAATGGACACAAGAAGATCAAAGGGAATGTCTGCTGTCATGGTTATTGCCACTTGACCTAACCTGAAGTCACCTCACTTCACAAGACCTCTAGGTATGTGACCGCGTGGTGTCTCCCCACACCCACACTGTACCATTCACAATTCCACCCACACAACTCTTTTACTATACAGTAGTTATAATTAATTAATCAATTGAAAAATATATTATTAGTTTGCCACAGACATTAAAACTCTTTGTTTTGGGCATGTACTTGAGTACAGTTAACCCTCACTACAGCGGTCCGCATTCGGCGTTTCCACGTTTACGCGGTGCCCTGCCGGAACCCAGGATGCTCACATTCCGCGGTGCGTGTACCCCTTTACGCGGAGAGCGGCTGGCGAGCCGCGCCATTTTTGGATCCAAACCTCCCGCCATCCACCATGTTGTGTAAGCTGCGCGAACATGGTGCGCACAAGGTCGCCCAGTCATCAAAACATTACCAGTTCTTCACCCGCCACCCACCACAGCCGGCCCAAGTCAGTGATAGTGATAATTATGGTGAGGATATGGACTTATATGGACTTTGGGGAGTTTGACAAAGAGGCCCTGTAAGCCTCTGTGGTGGATAGTGATACAATTGATACAAGTGACACAGGTGAGGGCCAATAATCTGCCCTCTGCCTCGGAACCAACCGCCCATCCCTGTGTGCCCAGCCATTTTTCTACTAATGTAAGTGTTAAAAACCTAATATTATTGATATTTCTCTTAATTATTAATTGTGTGTGCATACCATAATAAAGTTAAGATAATATTTTTACTACAACATAGTTGTGTGTTGTCAAAAAGTGGAGTTTGGGGATCGGCCCGGACTCCATTTCAATTAATCCCATATGTTATGTTATTCACTTTACGCGTTTCTCACTTTACGCGGGACCCTCCGGGTTACATTAACCGCGTAAAGTGAGGGTTCTTTTTATAAATAAGTAAATATACTACAAATGTTACTTGAGTACAGTACTCAAGTAAGTTTATTAGATTACTTGCAACTTTGTGAACAAGGCATGGTGATGGAGAATTACTGGGTCCATAAATTGTTAAAACTGTAAGGGTATATGAATGACAGAAGTCGCACTGTCACTTTGTGATTTTTATTGTAGTACAGTAGCTATTTATTTTTATTCTCAAGTATTTGACTTTGTAGTGTTTCGAGCACTAGTGAATTTTTTAGAAAAACTGACACTTTTGAGAAACAAAACACCAACTTTTATGATTATTATTATTATTATAGACAATACAGAACCCTGTCTAACCTGGAATTTTGGCCAAACCAGACAGGCCTTCTGCACTTTTGTATACTGTACAATATTTTTGGTATCTCTTTCTGACATTCAAGAACCATGATAGTTTGGTTGATTTCTTCATGTGCTTTACTAAGTGTACCCACTGCCCCCTTTCCATAACTGCCCCCTCCCCTACTTGCCTAAGAAAAAGGAGGGGTCCAAACAGCTTTTTCAAATTAATTTGTAAACTCTTCAGAGTTGGGGACAAACCTTCACACCCATTTAATTATCCAAGGAATGGAAACCCCATACTGGCATTCAGTGTTAAAAATCCATAAAGCAGACACTCAGTACTGATAGTTCAGAAGTTTACAGTGGTAGGATTACTCTTGAAAATTATTTGATGATTTCACTATGTGAAGAGGCCCATTATGCTTCAAACAAATAGGAAAATGATTTCAAATTATTTTGTTTTACACTAGACAGGAAGATTAACATGATGTTAATAATTGTAACTGGTAACAATTTGGGAGTGCAATAAAAAAAAATATCTAAATTGTCTGTTGGTATCCACTCAGGATTCAGGCTTATATGTCTGTATAAAACCACAAATAAATTACCCTGAGATAGCTATTCTATTTAACAATATCTCATTAGCTGTGAAATACCCAAATTCAGTGTTTTTGATATTGCATACATAAATAATTATATACTGTATATCATATATTCATTCATATATCACTGCAGCTGTGGTGCTCTTGTGGAAGGTTTAACTTTCCTTACTTATTGGGATAGATAACTGTACATGAATCTGTGCTATACTGTACCTGGGGAGGTCGTTCAATAGGCTTAACAGTAGCAGGTGTGGCATAGACCAGGGAACCACGAAGGAGCCAATGGGCACGGGTACACACAGTCTGGCGGAGTCTTGTAAGCCACCAACCAGGTGAAACTAAGAGGCCAAGACGTACTGTTACAGGTGGTGTCTCATTTTCTGCCTGTTCAAAGTAGATGCCATCAGTTACTACAACTTACAGTAGTTAAACTATTAAATGTCTATTTTTATTCAAATAATACCATACTGTACCATTTTTTTTAAGCAGTAAAATTATGTCCTGACAAAAACAAAACAAATCTAGCCTGAAAGAGAGCTGAATGTCACCTAACAAAAAAATTCTTTGAAATTAATTCCAGTTTGATGGGTAAGGAGCTACTCACTAGTGATCTTCACTTACCTGACAGGATAGTGTACCTTGCTTATATAACACCTCAACCCCTCCTAGCCAAAACAGGTTCTGCCAAGCAAAGTACTGGTAGTGGTACCTTACACAGTACTCCCCTTTTGCTATGAAATGGAATTTTATGTTTCGAATTTCTATTTTAAACATAAAAAACTGCTCTAATTGGTTTAATTCTGAGCGCTGATACAACAAAATACACCCTGAACATATATATTAGACCTTCACATTGAAATTTGAAAATTATTTTAAAGAACAAAAACAAATGGAGGTGTTGGTGGTACAGCGGTAACACACGTAACTCTCCCTAACATGACACGGGTTTGATCCTCAGACCAGACCCATGTGAGAAGGGTGTTACCTAGTGTGACCCTACCAAACACCACAAGTTTCCCGGTCCCCAGTTTCCTCCTGTACTAACACTGAATAGACCAGGGGTGGGCAAAGTGCGGCCCGCGGGCCACATTTAGCCCGCCAAATAATTTCTGTGGCCCGCCACTGCATTTGGCAATCAGAAATTTTTTTTTTTTATTAATTACAGAAAAGACAATTTTGGAAGTTGGGTGGACATAGCAGCAATACTGGCTCGTCGCTGTTAACCTGTGGCCCGCGAAGTGTGCCACCATTCATGAAGTGGCCGTCCATCAAAAATAATTGCCCACCCCTGGGATAGACCAACCGCCTGAATAGCTAGTAAACTCATAAGTGGCAAAAAGAAGCAATAAATGGTATAAAATTCTTACAGGGAGGTCCGAACTTAAAAGAGACCTATTTTTCAGAAGAAAATCTTGAAATATATTTTTTTTTTAAATTATAAATAGATTCACTTAGACTCCCATTATAAAATTTAACATATGTTCCTAAGAAAAAAGAATCCCCTGCCTGTTTTAGTTGCAATTTTCCTCCCCCTCCCCTGAAATATGGATGTGTGTGAAATTGCAATTATTCTTTTTCATAAATTGTAAAATTAATACAGTACGTACAGTATAACCTCAGATATCTGGAATGCATAGGGAAATAAGTGTGCCTTATAATCATTATTTCTGGATGCTTGAGTATTACTCTTATAAATATGCATCACAAACTCAAAAACATCAGTGTAGTAAATATTGTAAAAGGACATAGTGAATATATTATGAAAGGAATAAAAGGGCTGTACTCACTTGTAATGTAACACTGCAGTGGTGTGTGTATAATCCTGCTGTACATTAGCAAGATACAGCTACTTATTGAGCTTGAGTAAACATTGGGTACAGTAATCACTTAGTTCACTACTCTTTTTCAAGCTTGTTAAGTTTCTTAAAGACTAAAGTTTCTTAAGATTACACTTAAAACTAGTTTTTCTTCGTTAAGGGCCAGTGCCAGACATAGACCTGTGGAGGCCCATGGGCAGCCTCTTTGTGGAGGCCCCCCTCATTATAACTACCCAAGAGGGTGGGGTGGCGAGTGAAGCGAGCCTAAACATATGGGAGTTCCAGGGGGTGCTGTAAGCCCCCCCCGGGAAAATTTTGAAATTTTTAATCAATATATGTTTGTGGAATTCTAAATATATTATTAGCAACACAAACAATAGCATTCATTAAAAATATACGGTTCATAGGAAAACCAGGTATTCATGAATTTCAAGGAGTAGCTAGCCTAATTTCTATCACGCTTCTTGGTGAACATAGTTTTACGTAATGGAATAGATAAACATGAATTTTAAAGAATAAAAATAAAAATAATCCAATTGAATAAACAAATAAATAAGATATTGTAATATGTGGAGGCTCCTGGGCAGCTGCCCACTTTGCCCACTCCTGAATCCGGCCCTGATCAGCAGTGAGTTCAACAAACCAGGCCTTGCTTGCGAACTGCGCAGTGATTGGCTCCGCACATTTCATACCTCACTCCTCTGATTCTGAGAAACCATATAAATGAGCGTAGGTCTGGCTATGGAGCTCCCAACAAGCTCCTCACCCAACAGGAACTCTGAGCAAGCTTCTCACCACACCACAACTCCCTTGCACTGCACTGTACATACTATATATATATATATATATATATATATATATATATATATATATATATATATATATATATATATATATATATATATATATATATATATATATATATATATATATATATATATATATATATTGTCTTTAATAGGTATGGCGTGGTCTAATCAGAAATGATATAGGCGTAACATTAGCTAATAAATATGAGATGACATTAGATGTGTGAGACTCGCCGTTGTCACAATCACAAGTTTGTTTTTATTTCTTTATTATACAGTATTATCATATAATCAGCCTCTTATGGTGTATGTTTTATCATAAAAAAATATAACATACAGTGTGAGAGGTTGGAGTCATAGACCACGTTCTTTGTAGACTTTATTCTAACAGCGTCAGCTGGTGACTGGCAACCAGGCGCTGCCAAAGACAAGCCCCCATCTCAACATGGGAAAACATATCGTACGATGGTACAATCTTACATCTCCCCCCAAGTTAAAAGGAAATGACATTGCACATTTGAACTAACAAAAGGAAAACAATGCATTCATAAAAACAACAATAATGCAGGAAAAACCAGTCAAACAAAGGAAAAAAACAACAAAAAACCCTCTAAACTGATTTTACATCACATACACTACACCACGTAGTCCGTCAACCAGCCCGGAGGCCTACGGCCTCTCCTGGGCCTGGCCGCGCTCGACTGGGGAGGGGCCGTGAGTGCGAAGGAGGGCGCGGGTACGGAGGGCACAGCAGATGGGGGGCCAGGAGGCACAGCTTGGTGCACCACCGGAGTAGTAGGCACAGGTGTGGAGCCGTTTCGCAGGTGGGGTCTGTTGCGGATGGACACCCTGCCACTGCCACTCAACCTGACGGCATACTGCCTGTGAGGGCGGGCTTCCACCACTATGCCTGTCCTGTCCCAGAGCTTGGTAGCTGCGTCCTGCACACGCACCTGCGTGCCCACGACTAGGGGAGCCAGCTGGCGGGATACCTCCCTCCGCGACAGGACCCCATCCTGTGTTTCGGCCAAGCGCACCTCCCTCATACGAAGTGCCCGCCGCCAGTGCTGGTCCACCTTATAGTGCTGTCTGGCCACGGGAACGCCGTCACGGAGCTGGCGGCCGGTGGCAAGCTGGGCGGGCGACTTGTTCACCCCCCGCAGAGGCGTGTTCAGGTACTGGAGGAGGGCCTGGGATGTCCTATCGCAGTCCAGGCTACCCCCGGGCCCAGTATTATCCCTGAGGAGCCTCTTGGCAGCCTTGACCCCAGCCTCTGCCCTGCCATTGGACTGGGGGAAGTGGGCCGACGAGAGGCGCACCTCGACCCCCCATGACTTGAGGAAATCTGTCATCTCAAGGCTGGCAAGGTTGGTACCTCCATCTGTGGAGATCTGCTCAGGTACCCCCCACCTCGTGAAGTAGGCCCGCAGACTGGCGATGATTTTTCCAGAGGTGGCCTCGTTGGGGAAGTGGGCGATCTCCAGCCAACCTGTCAGTCGGTCAGCATATGCTAGGTACGTGCGGCCCTGCAGGTGGAACAAATCGGCCACCACTTGTTGAAAGGGATAGTCTGGCGCTGGGGTCAGAACCAACGACTCCGGAGGCTGGGAAGGGGCGTGGGTCTCGCAAGCAGCACACCGGGACCGATGATACTGCAGGTCACCCTCCATGCCAGGCCAATAGACAGACTGCCGGGCCCGCCTGAGCATTGAGTCGAGGCCCTGGTGCCCCACATGCAGGTTAACGGCGACCCGGTGGCGGAGGGAGTCGGGGATGACAAGGCGCACGCAGCCCTGGTCAAAGGTGTAGGTGACCAAACCCCTGACCACAGCCAACCTGTCCCTCACCGAGAAGTACGGGCGCAGACAGGCCACCTCCTGTGACTTGTGGGGGTGCCAGTCGCCCGCCAGCACCCTCGACACTAGAATCTGGTACACTGGGTCGTCCGCAGCCGCTTTGCACACTGTGTCTTCGTCCATAGTGATGCACCCATCCTGATCCAGTGCTGCGATTGTGACTGCACACACTGCAGCGCACAGGTCCTCCTCTTGGTCCATGTCCTCCGCATCAGGCGCCGCCCTGAGGGAGGGGAAGCGGGATAGGGCGTCAGCTGCACAGTTCCGCTTCCCTGGCAAGTATTTGACCGTGAATCGGTACTGCAGGGTCTTCTCCTTGAGCCTGAACAGGCGCGGATTCGCCACATCCGTGAAGGCTCTGTCCCCTAGCAAGCCAACTAAGGGGCGGTGGTCCGTCACCAGAATGAGGTTCGGGCAGCCAAGGAGGAACAGCCTGGCCTTGCGCAGGCACCACACCACAGCCAGGGCCTCCCCTTCTACTGCAGCATAACCGGCCTCGGCCGTGCTCAGATGTCGGCTACCACACAGAGCCAACCGCCACCCTCCTCTGCAGCAGAAGGGCGTCTCTGGAGAGGCACAGGCACAGTATTGTTGCAGGACGACGAAGCCGATGCCCTCCCTGCTCCAATCAGTGACAGCTGCCGTAGGCCTGGATTTGTCGTAGTACACCAAGCCGTCTCTGGCCAACTGACAGATGGTGTCCTGGGCCTGGCGAAACTTGAGCCGCAGCTGGTCGTCCCAATACACCTGCTTGCCCACTGGCTTCTTGAGGAGCTCACGGAAGGGCTCCATCACAGGTGCAGTGGCAAGGAAGGGAGCCAACTGATTAACCAGGCCGTGCCAGGACCTGATGTCAGTGATTGATGGCTGATCCGGCATGGGGAAGTCCTTGATGGCTGACA